AGTTGATGAGGTAGCGCGCGGTACCGACTTAATATAACTGTACTTTTGTTGACGAAGCGCCAGGGCTCTGAAATTCTGAACTTCTGCAGGCGGAAACTGTTCTACTAATGTGTAGACATCACGACGTGCGCTCAGGCTGATATGGTGTTCTGGTTGAATCTAACTCGGTTGACAGAGCCACTGAATTCAAGCCTGCCGGCAGAACAGTGGCTACCATCCGACTGAAGTTAAAACAGACCTTGTAACTGATACATGCTCCCAAGTCCGAGGGAAAATGTGAAACCTTCTTAAAAGAAATGAAAGGTGTTCAGTGCGAAGTTCCGACGGCGAAGTTCATCACTCAGATAGACGATTTGAATTTGCATGGTATGATTGGAAAGAAGGGACCCAGGGACTGCCTATTATGAACACCTCCTTCGAGCATCGAAACGTACATTACTGTACTTGGCATAGGGAAGCTCGTCCACAGAAGACGATGGTCGATTCCATCCTCTGACTCATGATGCTCTGTACTGGATGATGGTGTGAAGAGAGGAGCAGAGCAGTCGGCCGATAATCATCCTACTATTGGCACCTCAGTGCAAACAGTCGAGTATCCTCGAAAACTTTGTGGTAGAAACAACCAGAGAATGAAACGTGAAAAAGTTTCGTGCACGGATAAGAGGGCAAAACCTGAAAACAACATCGCATGACGGTTTGGACAGATCCAAGTGTCGACGGGTAACGTAGAAACCGAATAGAAGTCTTTCAAGAACAGCTTAATGAGGACGGCAGCCGCGGAATGCTGCTGCTTGGAATTGGCTGGCCCGCGGCTTGAGGCTGAGAAACAAATCTCATAATAGATAAAGAAGTTTACTAGCTTTCAGCAAGAAGAAACCTACGTTTAAAAGTTAGCTTGGAAGCAAAGAGCCTTCAAATGGAATGCGGTACGAATATATTCATAGGTCGACGTTAAAGCAGGGAAGCTGAGCCAGGGAAAAATTCGGTGAGGTGCTGGAGTCGAATTTCCAGAAGCAAACGATCCGTCGCCTCTGAGATGAAAAGAAGGCGATATGAAAGCATTGAGGAAATTTTCAGACGCTTTCTTACTGAGAAGAAAAAACAGCGATGGCAGGAGTACTTTGAAGAACTTCCTAAACTCGAGCAACCGTTGGAATACTAGCCATAAGAGCAGCGGGCAGCGAATAGAAGTCACTCAGAGGATGGATTCTGAAGTCGCAGAATCTGCAGAAGCTTGAAATGCGGCAAGGCTGCTGGAATCGATGAAACTTGCTTGCTCTGGGATTCTTAAAGCCTTAGGTGAACAGCATGTTGTAAACAGCTCGTGTATGTGAAATTACAGTTACTTCGGGGAAGGCGCCGGTGGGCTAAAGCACTGAAGTTGCAGTACTCCTGCTCAAGAAACGAGACAATACAAGCTGCTCAAGTTATTGGAACATCATCTTATTGAGCCTCTCAGAAAACGACTACGTAAAGGTGTTGGAAAGAACTTCGGGCGGAATATTGGCTCTAAGTTCCAAGAAGAGCAGCGTGGCTTCATCATAGGCCAGAGCACCTCTCACTAGAGGTTCGTCTTACGCTAGACTGTTGAGAAACCGTGGGGTTTTGATTGTTTGACCCAGAAGAAGCCTATGACCGAATCCAAAGCAACAAGCTATGGTCATAGTTGGAAACATATCGGATCGATGGGCAGTTGATACGAGACTTCCAGCCACTATATGTTGACAGCAGGTGCTGCATGATAGCAAATGAGATCATCCTTCAACGTTGGCACCATTCCATACCTTCCGCTGCTTCTGTTCAATATGGACAGTCATATGCAATCAGATGACGAGCGCATCAGTGTATGAGATGTGGAGACCATAGGCTGCTATTTGCAGACCATTTATTTTGTTGTCACCTTCTGCAGTTGGTTTTCAGCTCTCAAGCAAGGGTCGAAACCGAATGCGACGTGGACGGCACGCATGTGAACATGTAAATAATCAATGGTTAAGTGCATCCTCGTTCTACTGCACGTTGTGCTCTGAAGGCATACGGAAAAGGGATGCAGCAGGTGGAGAAATGCACGTAGCTCCACTTCGTCTTCACTGGTTGTGGAAAACAGGCGGAGAGATCGATTTGCGAATTGGAATTACCTCAGCTGTTCTGCATGCACTTGTCTGAACCATTGTTACCAAGGCAGAGTTGAGTCTGAAAAATTAAAATGTGTCTTTTCAAATCGATTTGCATCGCCATATATGGCGTAACTTGAGAGCCGTGACTAAAAAAATTCGATTTTGGCTACTAGCGGACGAAATAGCCCTTTGAAGTGAATCGCTGGGTTCACGGGCTTCGATATTGTTTAATGACCGGATATTCAAGTGCACCGTCGTACAGTCGCTGCTTTTGCAGAGTAAGCAGCCACAAGTGCGACGGTCCGAACGGGTCTTCGAATGCTTCCAGAATCTGAGGTCAAAATAGCTACTCTAACTCAAGTGACCAGCCAATGTCCCAAAGGACGGCCTAGAAAAACATGGGGCAAGTGTCTCGAACGGCTCTGCTCCAGACTCAGGTTATCCTTTGCCGAAGTTGAAGCTCTGGCACATAATCAGGAACGTTAGAGACAATATCTGACGCGTCTGTTTCTGAGAGTCGAATGTATAAAAGGTAATAGACACTGAATGATTGGCTTTTATTATACTTCCTTAGATTCAACCTCGACTCTCTGTACCTTTCCGCAAATCGTCGTGGCGTCTCCCTGTTCCATCCTTGTTTTGCATCAGGGTGGGCATTCGTGTAAAATGGTACAGAACGAAAGAACGATCAACGATGGATCAGGAAAGACAGACTTGAGAAACAAACACTAAGATCTCAACCGAACCTAAGCCTGACACTGCTGTTTATGTCATTTAACATTTGCTGCATATAACACAGAAGATTCAGTTAACATCGTGTTTGCAATCATGAGGTAACGGAAATATTTAAACTAACATGCACTGGTAGCAAACCTGAGCAAGATCGCGTGTCAAATTCTGATTTTCACCGTGTTCCCTGCGCAGGGGCACACGTTCCGGACAACTGATTGGAAGAGAGCGAATTCTTTTCTAAATTGGTGGGATAGGAAGCTGGCAAGATTTTCTGTGTTGGCCTCAAATAGCGATGAAACACCTTGTCCACACGGCGAAGTTCCAGCCGTAGCTCCCACGGTCGCTGATTGCAGCGTGGGAACGGTGGGGTAGCGCAAACAAATATATAAAGATGTCGGCAACAGATAATGACGGAATGCAAGCCATTAGGTTGATGTAGGATGTTCGACGTGCGCAGCACTGTTTTTCATTTTTTTGACCGTGCCAGTATAGAAATGAACATGCAACGAAAAGTTGCTCAACCTTGCCATCAGTACCCATTGTTGTACATGTTTTCATTGGCAAAATGCTTTCTTGTGCAAGCAATGCTCTAACGACATACAGAGCTTACGTGCCGAGGTTCACATCAACTCACTGTCGAAAGAATTATACGGCGAATAAATTAATTTTTGCCAGGGGATACTAATGTTTGCACAACAGGGACATTGACCATCATCAGAGTTGAAGCCAAGAAGCAATGGCATATGGCACCATCTGTTTTGAGTTGCCAGGCTCCTAAGCACTTTATAACAATGAATTTTGATGTAGAACATAATTTTCCTCACAAAGTCGCAATGAGGCAAATGTACAAGTTTTAACAAGTTTACTGGGATTTCCAGAGTGCAAGGGCTTCGCGGTCCAAATTACGCGAATAATATTTTCTTTTCACCGCAAGCGTCCTTTATCAAATCTCGCCTGATTGTGCTCCAGTCTTGCCTAAGAAGCATCCGATCTCGTTTAAAACGCAGACGAGAAAATACTTTCATTATGCTTTCTTCAAAGATTAACATCGACGCTACCACCTCCTTCTCTGAACCGCTCCATCGTAATTGTAAACAGGATGGATTCTTCTGGTCTTATGTGAACTACTATTTTAATCGACTCGAGCCCGCTGAAGCAAGAAGGTATTTCGGTGCATGCAATTCACATAAGCGTTTACTGGAAAAAGTTAGTGAATTTAGTAAAAATTTTATATGCGAATTAAAACGTGATTTACAACCGGTACTAATGCTTCGCGATAAACTGATTGTGCAGTTGAGATTACAGGACATATCCAAATTTCATGCAGCCTATGAGCAGAGGATAATGCAGCAGCTGTTCTGATGTGCATATTATATTTTGCTATCTCCTTTGGCTAGATAGTAAATCTGCAAAGTGCTAAAATTTGCCACATCCGTTCAGCGCAGTATCTTTCATTTTTGTTATAGACTTGTTACTCACACATGCATAGCACAGACATACTCTTTGAAAAACATTACCTGCAGAAATCATTCAAGATCACTTCGAAAACAAGACAAGGCCCCGTAGCAGAAAGAACGCACATCGGCTGTCCGGAGAATAGTGCATATATCACTCCACATATGCCCCCAGCCAAAACGTTTTCGATAGCACCCTATAACATAAACAATAATGCTACATGGCAAACTGCTTAGGAGATAAAGCTGTATGAAGGTCTTCAAAAATAAGCTTATATTTTATAAGGCTCAAGCAAAAAGTCATATTTTAACAGCTGAAATAACAGCAAATTTAATCCTTCCGCTGGAAACCCGAAGCGCTACCATTTGCTTATGAAGCACGTGGTCCATGACGCCGCCGAAAGTGATAATTTTGGCGATGTTCGCGAAAAACAGAAACAGAGCTGCAGCCAGGGTTTGAATGATGCCACCTTGAAAAGCGTCGGCGAAGTCGCTGCAGTACCAAGAAGCTTTTTCTTTCAGATCTTCTCTGAGTCCGCCGAAGAACCTGCAATCAGAAGCATTCAGAAAATAAATTCCTATGAAATGCAGCACTCCATGGTCAGCCACAAACGGTTCTTAAGGTAATAAAGTTAGCACAGTTTAACAGAACAAAGGTATATGAAATTAAGACCAGTACAAAACCCGTGCATTTTGTTCCGATATGACGCATAAGTCTAGCGTGAGTCCCGTGATTCTACAGTCTCAGAAGCTAAAGAGAATAGACAAATACTTTTCAATGATCATAACATGAACAGTTGTGATTTTCTGCATATGCATGTTTGTTGTTATCGTATTAGTCTAAGTTTCCAATCCCACGGTCCAGTATCCTGACTTAGTAATTAGTCAGTGACCTAAGAGTCATTGGGAGAGTGTGATACATAATATCGTCATATGTAAATTCAAAAAACTCCTACTGGTACTCTCTAACAATAGGTATGTGGATGGTGCGAATGGATCTGCCAAGTATCGATATGCTCAGCTAAGGGTTAACTCGCCGTAGCACAGCAGGTTTGCCATCAAATTGCTATTTATCGATAACGCCGGCAGTCGATGAATAGCAGTCTCTACCCCCTGTCCAGATTCATAAGGTCTGGCTGCACTTCTTGCTTCTAGTAATCTTTTACTTATGGATCGAGTTACATCCACGGGTGTTCGAAGTTTATTTTCAACCCAGCAAGTGGTACTGTTTAGCGCCAGTGCACAACTGGTGCCAAATACCATGCAGCTATGGCATGATTAAGCGTAGTTCTAAGATACTGAAACAAACGGACAGTGTGACTATGCTGTAAGAAGCCGAATAAACGACAAAAGAATGCTGAGTTTAATGCCTTACTCACTCTCATAGCCCGCGAAGGAAGTAGCTCACGATGTCTTTCTAATGTTCCTGATCTTCTGACAAGAGGATAAGTTCTATTAACTGGAATCCAAGACAGAGAGGAGCAAAGTGTTGCATTAGAGGCATCTGAACCCAAGTCTACCTCTCAGCCGCTTAGGGTGTAACTGTATTTACCTTTCTAGTCTCTCCCGTTGACCCATGCCTGTAACAGCACATGTGCGACCTCTCGATTTGACGAGAAACAGTTCAAATTGAGGTTAAACAGTTCTCTCACCTTGTTTAGTCTCGTCATATCAACAGCAGTTACAAGAAACTACATCATCGATGAAACGGTTAAGTTTGCGTCACATGAGCAATTATATTAATCAGACTTCACTATGGTTCACTTAAAGCATAACATATTACAGGTCAAACGACAACATAAACGCGGATATGAAAAAAATTATGGCATCTTACTTGCCAGTCCGAGTTAACCGCCTGTCTACTCGATGTTCAGCTGCTTCAGAAATTTCCACGATGCGACCACGCCGTCTATGAACTGCCTGTGAAGCCTGACAAAAAAGCGTTCGTCGTTTGAAACACATCAAATCACGCCCAGCGTTACCGAAGGTTTGACATCTGTCGGATCAAGTCGATTGTCAAGGCCCATCTTGCCAGCTGGTATGACGACACTCTGGCTGAGGAATTCGTCGATCGCGAAGCAGATCTGGTGGTTGTCCCTGGCTTTGTAGCACACTTCGGAAAAAATCTGTAAAGTTGGCAGAAGTTGTAAAGGTTGCAGATAGCAAGTGTGAGAAGAAGTACCTATTTGAAGCAGCGGTCTGTGCCTTCACTGAACACTATACCTAATGATTTCCATTTTTCAACAGATTCTTAAAGCTCAAAATTGATTGGGAATGAGAATAGAAATCGCAGAAATTATTATTCATCAAAAATGCCTCTTTATTAACAAAAGTTGTAGTTCATTACTGCCGATGCAAATAATCTATAAACTCCATTCAAACGGGCTTACGCGGCACAATCACAGTTCTCCTTTGAATTCAGAGCGATGTACGATGGGGCAGAAAACTTGTTCCGGCTAAATACGTGAATAAGATTACTATTCTGTAGTTGAAGATAAAAATGAGTCGAAACATTTTTTAGGGCAGATCGGCGTCCCGAACAGTATTGACTCCCTCCTCACCGTTATCACAGCTAGTAACCACGTCATCTGTAATAGGCGGACATTAAAATCCCATTCGAAGCTTTGTTTTTTCATGCCCATCTATCTGCCAGGCATTTTTTTTCAGGTGCACCATTTTATAAAGTTAACTGCATTTGATCTTGAAATCCTCCCGCCGGTCCTAAGCCCCGATGAGAAAGGAGGAGGGTTGAGGACCGTGGCAAGTCTCT